GATGATTTGACCGTAAAAGGGCCTAAAGAGAAGAACGAGCAGGAGGTAATGCCAGGGATTAGACGCTTTGTCTGGAACCATGTGCAAGACTTGTGTAGGGTCCTAGACTTGCTAAAGGAGCATAACCTCACTGCAAGTGTGTCTAAATCGAGGCACTATATGAGCGGGGCCACTATCTTGGGGTTTGTGTGCGACGAGAGGGGTCGTCGACCAGACACTAAGAAAACCAATAAGATTCTCGAATGACCAACCCCATTTGAGACTATTGCGGAGGTGAGAAGTTTCCTCGGGACATGTGGGTTCTGGAGCATCTTCATAAAAAGGTTTGCGGCAAAAGAYGRAGCAGCTTCGAAAGCTCGTGCGCCAAGGACAAGACTAGGAATGGGGAGATAAGCAGGAGTTGGTAATAAAGGGCCTAAAGAAGGAATTCGAAGAAGGGGGTCTAGTACTGGGAGTACCGGACCACTCGACGGTAATGACCAGTCCTTTTATTGTAGAGACTGATGCAGGGCCAACTGCGCTAGGAGGTGTGTTGATTCAGCAAGACCTTAACGGAGAGGAGCGGCACTAAGGTTTGAAAGTCGCACGCTTAACACAACTGAGAGAAATTACTCTCAGTTTAAGTGCGAAACCTTAGCAGTTCTCCATTGCTTAAGGATCTTTAGAAACTACCTCTTCAGCAGCAGGTTCGTGTTGAGGATGGACCCAACTGCTCTAACCGATTCTCTCAAGAATTTCGCTCCATCAGACCCGACTATCGCCAGGTGGTTAACATACATCTGGATGTTTGATTTTGAATTAGAGCGAATTCCAGGAAATAAGAATAGAGCAGACGGACTGAGTCGAGTCGACTGGGACAAAAATAATCAAGGAGTAATCGAGGATATTCCGCCAGTCGACGAGTTTCTGGACACTGAGGAGGATGTGAGACTTCACATCAACTCCTGGTCGATGGCCGTGGGTAACTACGTTACTCCTGGGCAACCTGTGTGGCTCTCGCCTCCAGGACATGTACGGCGGCCATACCTAGTCCTTAAGCCTTTCATCGAAGAGGAATCGTGGGGGTTGCCAAACGTGCAGTGGATGATGGATCTGGCCTTAGCAGACAAATACCAGTTGCACGAAGACCTACTCACGATGGAAAATGGGGCACAACAGGTAGAAGGGCACGAAAGGTCGATAGGTGGGATATACCTCTTGGCAAACGCTCTGCTTCAAGACGAGGTGGCAAGGATCGGGGATCAGCGGCAAGGTGAGAATGCGAATGTAATCCACGAAGGAGAGGACGACGATTTTGAGGAGGGAGAGATAAAAGAGGCTTTTCGCAAGGAGGAGTATGACGGGATATATCTGGAGTTAGGAATGCTCCTTTTGTGCGAAAAGAGAGAAAGGGATGCATGCGAGAAAGTCCTCAAGGGACGGCCATCTGTTTATGAGGAGTAAAGGGAGGAGACCCAGAAGGGTGGTTTGTGGCGTAAACCGTCAGATCGATGTTATGGCAGCCCGTCATGACGGGACGACAGGTGGCCATAGGAGTGCGGATGCGACATACTTAAAGATTCACGACTTGTATTACTAGGATGGCATGAGACACATGATCGAGAAGTATTGTAAGTCTTGTGTACCGTGTCAGGAGCGTTCCTCCCTTAGGCCAAGGGAGCCGCTTCACCCAAGGTATGTTCGCGAGGTTGGGGCGGTCGTACACCTGGATTTGTTGGCAATGCCGCTAGGGGTAGGAGGATATAACTTCATCTTCGATGCATGAGACAACCTCTCCGGTTTTGTAGATGGCAGAGCCATACACACAAGAACTGGTGAAACCTTGACTCAATGCATTGAGGAGTATTACCTCCGCTATCCTTTTGTCTCCAGATTCGTAATGGACAGAGGGTCCGAATTCACTTGTGCYGAGGTGAAAGAACTGCTGAGAGGGTATGGAGTGATCGCAGAGTATACTACTGCGGCGCACCCTCAAGCTAATGCACCTGTGGAAAAAGGTCATCGTAC